GGGGGGGGGGGGCCTGGAGCTCACTCCAGGGGGCCCTGAGGAGGGTCCCCTTTCCCAGGACCCTGAGGTAGATACCAAAGCCACCCCAGTGCTTGATGGGTCTTTTTCCTCCCCCTCCCAGAAAAACCTCACCTCCAGCTTGCCCCAGGGTCCTGCACCAGAGGAGGTCATGGTTGGGTCCCCTGATAAACAAGCTGATCTTGTTGGGAACCCTACACAGACCCCCCTGGGGCTGCAGCTCTACCCCACCATCTTGTCAAGGAGTCCCACCCCCACCCCTGTCCTAAGGGGCTGCAGAGCTCTCCCAATCCCAACAAGAGTCTGGGTTCATAGCAGACTGGGGGGTTCAGATGGTGCCAAAGGAGCCTGTTGAGCCCTAGGACCAGGAGACAGATGCCCAAGAACAAGCAGGCTCCATGGAGCCTGCAGACCTCTCCGTCCCAGCAGTCCCCAGGGGTTAGCTACTTGCATTTCTTGACTGTGACTGCACGGCTGAGTTTTTGGCCAACCTCCACCTGATGCCTGGCAACAAGGTGCTGGGCATCGACGGGCTGACCACAGAGTTCTACCAGGCCTTCTGGGACATCCTCGGCCTGGACCTTGCTGCGGTCTGGGCTGAATCTGTTGTGCTGGATGGCCATGCTGACCCTCTTGATGAAGAAGCAGGATCCCCACAACCTGAGGCACTGGCATTTCGTGTCCCTCCTCTTCACAGACTGCAAGGTGGCAGTGAAGGCCATCTTGCTGCACCTGCAGTCTGTGTTGACAGATGTGATCCATCCTGACCAGACGTACATGGTGCCTGGATGTTCTATCTTCGACAACCTGTACCTGGTTCGGGACCTCCTGGAGCTAGCGCGCTGGGAGGGCTTGTCTTTTGCCCTCCTATCCCTGGACCAGGAGAAGGCATTTGACAGAGTGGATCATGGGTACCTGACAGGCATGCTGCAGGCCTTTGGCTTTGGGCCCCACTTCATGCGGGCTCTCCAGATGCTGTACACCTCTGCAGAATGTTTGGTCTAGCTCAACTGGGCCCTGATGGAGCCATCCTGTTCAAGAGAGGGGTGTGTCAAGGCTGCCTGGTGTCCTGCCAGCTGTATGCTTTGGCCCTGGAGCCCTTCCTTGTTCTCCTGCAGAAGTGGGTGGCAGGGTTGATGCTCCAGGAGCCGGAGGTGTGGCTGGTCCTGTTAGCATATACTGACGATGTACCCCTCATGGTCCAGGACTTGAGGGACCTGGCACAGGTTGAGGCTTGCCAAACATTGCACTTGGTGGTCTCCTCTGCCCGGGTCAAGAGCTCTGCCCTGAGTGGTGCACGGGGCTGGTGGAAAACGGCTGGGACTGCAATGGCTGCACGAGGCAGCGCGGGTCCCCCACCCTGCCGGGCCCTCTACGCACGGAACTATAGAGCTGACGAGTTGCCGGGGCTGAGTGAAGCAGCGCCGGTCCACGTTTCTGCCCTAGGCAGGTGCCTCTTCAGCGCACAGGGGGGCTGAGAGAGAGCTGATAGGCCTCAGTGGCTGCATGAAGCAGTTGGGACCTTCCTGCTGCAGGCAATAAGCAGACAGGTCAACCACCCCTGCGAGGGAGGATGCTGGGAGTTATGAGTTACCCAGGGAAAAGGATTCCCACGGGGAGGAGGGGCCTTCCTCCCTGCGGGCAATCATTGGGAAGCTCTTGAGGAGAGAGGATGATTTGCCCCTGGACACAGAGGGGAGTCTAGGGCCCTGTTTTGTTAAAGGTGGTTCCAGGATTACAGGCCCCTTCTAACTGAGTGACCAGGGAGAGAGTAACAATGTTTTATTAGGTAACAGGATCCTTCCACAGGTTGTCATTTCTTTGGGCACAGCTCCTGGGCCATTGTTATATTCTGGTCCCTCATGTCATTAGGACTCTTGCTGTAACTCTGTGTCCTTATTGTTGTATTAGGAAAGGGGTTGTAAGCTGTTTTATATTTGAATCTATTTTTATTGGTTATCTGTATATGATGGTGAGTCTACTGGTGTAAACTGATTGTGTATGATCAATTATTGTTCCATTGCTGCTAGCTGTTACTTTCATTGATTTGTTCATTAACCTGTGTTTTACCCTTAAGTCCTCCTTTGCAGGCTGCTAGAGGGCCCAGTCAAAGGTCAGGGGTTGTAGTTTAATCAGAAGGCCACAGGGGATAGGCCTGTGCCTGAGTTCAAGGTTGAAAAGAGCTATTGCCTGTCTAAGTCTATGTAAATAACCTGTGTGTGTAATCTTGCATGCATGTAAGATTATGGTTATAAATGTTATATTATTTTGGTATCATTAAACATGTACATAGTTAAATATCACTGGGTGTCCTGGATCTCCTGCTCTGCTCTGTAGGGAAAGGGGTGAGCTGGCCTACAGCTAGGCAGCCATGTTCCCATGCACCCACTCACATCCCTTTGATTGGAGAGAGGGTACCTCTCCACATACCACCCAGGTTACACGTGTATGATTTTATAGTTCACATAAAATCTAGATTAATGTGTGTTAATTTTGTATTTTAATCTCTATCTTTTTTGTTTGTTTTTTACTGAAGTATAGATGTTTGCACACTGATAAGATACTGGCAAAGATATTAGCTGGCTTTCCTCCAGAATAGATAAATCAGTGCATAACAGCATTGCCCTGGTAAGTCTGCCACTTCAAATCTCCATAGTTACTATTATTGTTTTCGGAACAAGCCAAAACTGGGACTTGGAGTTGGATCATTTTTAACCCCAGGGTGTTCAGACCCAAACCTAGAGTCTAGTTTTACATGTAAAACAACACCAAGAGAAACCTACCTTTTGGCTGGGTTTCAAAAGAACAGCAGTTCTTCCATATTTTGGTCCTAGATGGTAGAAATCTTACAAGAGCATATGTTGTTGTATGATATTGATCACTCTTGGTAAAGCAGAGGTTTCCAGCTTATCCAGCCCTGTGATTGAGTGGCTTGGGACTGTTTGCAAGCCAGACTGGGTCCCCAGACAAGTCCTTCATGCCAGATCCAGCACATGTCCCAGAAAGAGTGCCACATGTATCCCAGAGCAGCCAATCCAGGACCATCCTGCACATAGTGCCTGCTCCAGCACTCTGGACCTGTGCCACTTGTGATTCCCATTTCAGGACAGACCCACTCTATGCTGAATCCACTGCGTATCCCATAGTGGCTGGAGCAGGTGCTGCACATGTTGCTTTCTCCGGGACCATACTACCCACTCTGGGATTTGTCCTGGATCAGCATGGAGCAGATGCAGAGAGGCTGGACTGGGTAGAACACAGGGCTATCCAGTGCATGCTGCCTGCTACCTGTGGGTCAACTCTGGGACCCATGGGCAGCACTGGGGACTAGATGATAGGGTTCCATGGGACTGATCCAGCCTGAGGGCCATATCTTTGACACCTATGTGGTAGAGGATCTAGTAAGACTGCTATTTTTTGCTAAAATCTTATTGAAATAGCTCACAAGATTTGGCTACTGTTGAACTCCAACCTTTACTTTTGACCTGTGAATGTCAAATGTGAATCCTATATGGATATGAATAACATATTCTCTGCATCTCTCAAAATATTATAGACACTTTCTTGATGATTTATTGTTTCTATACCATGACTAATATTCATAAGGACTACAAATTGTTTGGCATACCTCACCTAATCTCACGAATAGTCCAGTAGAAAAGAACTGAATTTAGTTCATCTAAGTTCTTATTTGGCCCTTCCCACCATAGTATCTGAGTGCCTTACACATATCTGAAAACAGATATAAAAGTGTCTTTCTCAGTCCTTTTCAGAAAACCACATAATTTAGATTGATTCTGCCTCAGGCTTTTTGAATGTCTCTAAACTAAGATTTCTTTTCATAGCAGTTTAAAGAAAAGTATCACACTGCCTTTTAACACATTAACAGTATTTCTGTTACACTGGCATTTATGGCTGGTTGATACAAATATTGCAATGTAATATTGGACAGTGCAGACAGAAGAGCAGCTCCCTGTTGTAACTCATGGCGCTTCAGTTTTAAAAAGACTCTCTTTTCTTGAATTTGCGCAGTTCTTATTCTACAGATTAAAAGTAATGTAAATGAGAAGATGCATCATATATAAAACAATCAAATGATACTGGGATAATATATACATATCAGATGAAAGCATGTCAACATTATTCTATATTTGAATGTCAAAATGTGAATGGGGTTGTCTTTTTATAAAGGCAAGATTTTGAGTGTGCATAACTAGTAGCAGGTAGACAAGTGGCAAGAAAGCCTCCTTGTTTTTAATTTTTTTTTTTTTTTTTTTTTTTTTTTTTTTTTTTTTTGGTAAGATTTTTCCATTATTAACACATCCCAACTGTTTAAAAATTCAGAATGATCTGATGGAAACTCTTTTTCTACTGGCTTAGCTTTATTGTGGCAACGACAGTGGCAATTTTTACTACCATTATATTTATTTTAGTATAATGGAAAGGCTGGGGTTCAGAAATTATTCCAGCGTGTCCAGAGGTGAAAGACATAAGAAACACCAGACTGCAGACACAGGGTTTAGCTGAATATGTTTATTTATAACATCCTTGTCTCAGCATGTCCTGCTGCTTTCAGGTGTTTTATATACAGGAAGTGAGATGCAGAAAAACTCTACTACACCATATTATTATGTGCAGGGACAGTTAAAGTCTCTGTATGTAAGGCATGGTATCCTGACGGGTGCAATCCTCCAGTGGGGTCAGAGAATGGATGGGGCTCCATGGGACAAAGATGGTTCAAAGCATTAAAAGAAGCAGGTGGCCTATTGCCATTGCATTCCCTACTGTGCATCAGTGAAGTCTGGGAGAAATTCCCATTCTGGAAATCAAAACTCCACCCTTGCTTGTTGTATTTTAGAATGTTGTAAAAAATTGCACAAAGGGCTTCTCTGGAGCTGGTTCTTGATGCATACCAGCTGTCCCTTCCTGTGAAAGAATGTTTTGCCCACCTTTCTTGATCCTTTATGAGCCATGCCAAGATAATTCATTGGGTTCAAACAACTATATTCCTTCATGAACAATATGTTATTCGAAAACTTACTGTTTTCTTGATTTGACTTGGTGTTTTGTTAACTTGAATGGATGACTTGCTTATTACTTCTGTTTCTGGTACTGTGCCTTTTACCCTTTTATTTTCTGACAACTTTTTGATGACTTTTCTTCTGTCACAATTAAGCTTTAGGATCCCAATATCAATGACAAAAGTGAAACTGCTGTTACAGCTCTGTGAGCAGCAGTTTGCAATGTAAGGTTGGTGCTAATATTATCTCTGTCCCTAAGAGCTGTTCAATTAACTTTGGAGACTGAAGGATTTAACTGGAGGACAAAGTGGATTCATACTTTCCTAGCATTCCTTAGGGAAGGGATGGCTTGGTTCTTTGCTTTGGTTATGCTATAAGAAAACCTGAATTCAACGTTTTTCTCTCTTTGCTTTTTATGTTAGAAATTCAGGATTTGTTTTCCCTGCTTTTTCCTAGAAGACTTCACAGTAAACAAGAAAACTACTGAATTTGTGATGATGATGAGATACCATGTAAGTGACACTTGATGGACTGAGATATGAAGTGATTTTTATGTAGGCCCTATAAAGCCCTTTGTTTTCTGGTTGTTTTTACTCTTTTAATTCAAGTGCATGATTAGGAGCTGAAAGAAACGTTCTTATTACATTTCAAGAATCCCTTTGCTTTTGGAGAGAAGGCTTGTTTATGCTGTGGCAGCAGCATGTCCTGGCCTGGCTGTTCTCAAACAGGTCCTGCCAGCCTGCTGTCTAGCACTTTCCTAACCAGAAGTTGTGTTGGTGAGGTCGTGCTGGGGTCCTTCCCAGCAGTTTCTTTCAGACGCATAGAGGACTTGACAGCAGCTGCAGACAGATGCCCTGGGGCATCATCTGTGGTGTATTTCCAGGTCCTGAGCATGGGGTGGGGGGCATGTTCAGGAAAGCTAGGAACAGAAATTGCACATAAATCAGTTTGTGATCAGAAACTGGTTTAAACCTGTAACAGAATAGAAGTTCAGTGCACATAAACCAATTTCAAAATGGCTGAAACTGTTTTAAGATAAACCTGGTTGAATGTGATATCAGACTTAACTGA